GCTGCCGGGTGGTTCCCAGGGTCAGGAGAGTTGAGGTGCCCTAAGCTCTCACCTCTGCCTGACCCTGAGGCTTTGTGACGGCAAAAAGCAAAGGCGAATGCAGAGTCCGAAACTTCCTGCCTAAAAGTTGAAGGCGACCCCAAACGACACGGAGCCCCTCAGCAAAAGACGGGGGGCTGCTGAGTTCAGTATCCAGGGAAGCGTCTGCCTGGTTATGAGCCTCTAGCGTGACCCAGCACAGACGGGGGTGGCCTTGCCCAGCCAAGAATACAGATTTTACAGAATTAGTTCAGAAGAATCACTCAACAAACAAATGTCAATGATAACAGTACAACAACAATGTCACACCCTGGAAAGCGGGAAGAAGGTGATTTCTAGAGTTTCCACATTTTGTTATTCTAAATATACGACAATACATTGTTTCTATAACAATGACAAAAATTTATGAGTCATGCAAAATAATATTGCCCAGACACAGGGAAAAGAAGAGCCAATATGACCTTCACAGAGGAAGTCCAGAGGTTGGGTTCATAAGACAAAAACTTATTCGGCTAATCTAAAAATATATACATAGGGTTTTTTTTTTTATGTCTACAACTAAAGAAAAGCATGAGAATGATACTAGAAAGTACGAGAATCTCACTGGAAAATATGAATGAAGAGATCAAAGTGACTTAAGAAATACAGCAATTCTGGAGTCAGGAAGTACAATAACCAAGATGAAAGATCCACTAGAGGGGTTCCACAGCGGATTTGAGCAGGCAGAAATTAAAAAGTCAACAACCTTGAAGATGATCCAGCCTGAGGATCAGAAAGACAAAAAGAAAGAAGAAAAATGACCAGGCCTCAGCGACCTGTGAACACCAAGCAGATAAACAGGCGTCCTGGGAGGCGGGGGGAGGGGAAAAGGAGAGGAAGACCGAGAACTCGTGTTGGAGATCCCCCCATCTGATGGAGAGCATTGATACACACATTCAGAACAGTCTCCAGAACCTTCTCCAGGCCAGCCCAGGTGTCAGGCTGCGAGACAAGAGTCAAGGCATTAGGTCTGACATCAGGCAGAGTGTGTTCCCTGGCCACAGTGGGATGGAGTCGGTGATCAGCAACAGGGAAACTGGAAGATTCACAGATGTGTGGAAGCTAAATAGCACACTCCTAAATCACTGAGATAGAGGAAGAAATCACAAGGAAGATTAAAAAAAAACTCCTTTGGGTTGAACAAAAAAGCTCTGCTCTTACCCCTTCTATTTAATATGGTCCTAGAGGTTTTAGCCAAGGAAATCGGGCAAGAAAAAGAAGTAAAGGTCCTTCAGATTGGAAAGGAAGAAATAACACTGTCCTTCTGCATAGATGACCAGATTTGTATATGGAAAACTGTAAGGGATGCACAATCACACATGGAATTAACAAGCTCAGCCACGTTGAAAGATATGAGATCAATATACAAAATCCAATTCACTTGTATAAACTAACAACGAATAATCCAGATATGAAATTAAGGAGACCATTTCATGTATAGCATCATCAGAAAAAATTACTACCTATATTTGTGTAACAAAAGTACAAGATTTATAAGTTGAAAACTACCAAACATCATTGAAAGAAATTAAGAAGATCTAAATAAATGGGTGATGTCCTGTTTGTGGACTGGACAATGTAATCTTTTAAAAAATATTTTCATTAGTTATAGGTGGACACGATGCCCTTATTTTATTTATATGCGGTGCTGAGAATTGAACCCAGGGCCTCACACATGCTAGGCAAGTGCTCTACCACTGAGCCCCAGCCCCAGCCCACGGACAATTGTAATATTATTAAGAAAGCAATATTCCCCAAAGGCTCTCAGAGTTGATGGGATCCCCGTTAGAATCCCAAGGGGTTTTTCTACAGAAATTCTCAAACTGAGCCGAAAATCCACCTGGAAACGCAAAGGACCCAGACAAAACACGCTTGAAAAAGGACAAAACTGGAGATTTTACACACTCTGAGCCTAACACCGACTACAGGGCTCTACAAATAAGAGGAGCTGCTGGCACGAGGGAGGGGGACTAGAATTTAAAGTCCACAAATAAGCCCTTCGTTCAAGGTCAGCTGACACAGGACAAGGGTGTCAAGACACTTGCATAAATGATGGCCTCTGCTGGTAAATGGGTGGAGCTGGAGATGACCAGGCTGCATGGAATAAGCCAACCCCCAGACCAAAGGTGGAGCCTTCTGACAGGCGGATGCCGACTCCCGCTAAGTGGGGGGAGGAAGAACAGATGGTTATTGGACTAGACAGAGGGGAATGAAGAGGGGGATGGAAATAGGAAAAACCATGGAATGAATCAGGCGTGATTCTCCTATGTTCATATAGGAATACATGCCCATGTTCAATCACCAGAATGGGAAGTTGTACTCCATGTATGCAGGATATGTCAAAACGCACTCTGCTGCCACTGATACCTCAAAACAATAACAACAAAGACACATTTCAATTGGGAAAGAATAGTCTTCAACAAATGCTGCAAACTGGATATCCATGTGCAAATGATGGAACTGGTTCCCTACCTCACACCATATTAAGGTTTTTTTGTTTGTTTGTGGTTTTTTTTAAAGATTTTAGACCTAAATATAAGGACTACAACTATAAAACAACTAGAAGAAAACATGGGAACAGCTCTTTATGATATAAGATTAGTCAATGGCTTCTTAAATGACACCCAAATCACAAGCAATGAAAGAAAAAATGCATTTGATTTTATCAAAATTAAAACATTTAGTGATTTATAGGACATTAATGAAAAACTGAGGGGACTCCTTCTAACTCACAAATCATATATCTGATAAGGACCTAGAGTCCAAAATATATAAAGAGCCCTCATAAATCATCAATTGCCTAAACAAACCAATACCCTAATTTTAAAGATGGACAAAGGGATTTGAATAGACAATTCTTCAAAAAAGATACATGAGGGCTGGGGATGTGGCTCAAGCGGTAATGCACTCGCCTGGCATGCGTGGGGCACTGGGTTCGATCCTCAGCACCACATAGAATAAAATTTAAAAAATTAAAAAATTTAAAAAAGATACATGAATGGCCAGTAAGCCTATAAAAACAAAAAACAAACAAACAAAAACGCTCACCATCTTTAGCCACTAGGAAAATGCAATTCAAAACAGTTTCACACTCACAAGCATAATTACAGTAAAAAAGATAAATAACAGCTGGGTGTGGTGGTGCACACCTGCAACCTCAGTTACTCCAGAGGCCGAGGCAGGAGGATCACAAGTTTGAGGCCAGCCTCAGCAACTTAGAGAGATCCTGTCTCCAAACAAAACAAAACAAAGGGCTGAAGTAAGTGCCCCTGGTTCAATCTCTGGTGCACACAAAAATAAAAAGATTAAATAACAAATATTACTGAGATTGTGGAAAAATAAGAACACTCATTCATTGCTGGTGGGAGTGTCAAATGTCTTCTTAGAAAACTCAAAGAGTTAACCAGAGAGTTAACCAGAGAACTGCTATATAATACAGCAATTCTATTCCTATATACCCAAGGGGAACAAAAAAAAATATTGATATGAAAGCTTGTATGCAAATATTCATGGCAGAATTATTCATAACAGTCAAAAAAGAAACGGCCCAAATAGTGCAAGTGATGAATGGATAAACAAAAT